AACAAGCACCCGGTAAGAATGAAGTTTAGGGGAGGGCATCCAGAAAGGCATTACAAAGAGACCTAGGAAACTCTTCAGGATGATGGATAGTTTTTTGATATTGATTGTAGTGATGTGTATAAATATGCCAAGTCTCACCCAACATTATTATTTAAAATGTGCAGTTTATGGTATACAAAATATACCTCACTAAAGCTAGTTAAGACATTTATCAATACAACTCATTATTTCACAATAAAAAAGCCATATATTATTTCGGTAGATGCTCAAAAACCATTTTCAAAAAATTAAGATTAAGAACTCTGAGAAACAACTAAGAATAAGTTGAAACTTCCTGTCCCAGTGAAAATTATCCACGAAAAGCTACAGCTCTCATTCTTTAAAAGACTGAGGACATCCCCTAATATCACCACTTTAACATTATGCTGCAAGTCCTGCCAGTGATACAAGATAAGAAAAAGATGAAAGGTTGAGGTTGGAAAGAAAGAAATAAAACAGTCTCCAGCCAAGCACACTGGTACACACCTAAAGTTCTAACACGCAGGAGACCGAAGCAGGACTACTGTGGGCTTGAGAGTGAGCTCAAGGCCAGCCTGAGCTACATAGCAAGACTATGACTCAAAACAACAAACAAATGAACAGACAAAAAGAAATTGGACCCAACATATATGACTTGAATCTTTACCTGGTTTTTCGAAGTACCATTCTTAGTATATTAAAATAAGTACAAAAATCTTAGTACACAAAATAAGTATAAAAATGCAGAAGAAAATTTAATTTTAAAACTTTTCAAATAATGATAATACAAGTACTCTACTTCTAAAAATTTATTTCATAGAGATATTTTCCCAAGTGCAATAAGACATCCCCACAAGCACAATACACAAACACACACTCAGATATATCTAATTTGTGTTAAAATTTAAATTATATATAAAATACATTAATGAAAATTACTTATTTATGTATGCAATTACTTTTTTTAAAAAAATAAGAAGCAGGTGATATCAGTTGAGTACCCCTAATTTAAAAATTCAAAATTCCAAACACTCTTGAGTACAAATATGACACCTAAGTTTAAAAAAAATCTGCACCTTATCTATGGGATAGGTGGCAGTTAAAAACACAGATTGCACTTAAAAATTACCTTGAGACTTCCTTCACAAGGTCTGTATGAAACTTTGTTTAGAAGTTTACATGAAACCATGTTTAAATTTGTATCTTCTCTCAGAGACAAGTGAATATATAACAAAAATATTCCAAAATCAGAAAACAATCTACACTGAAAATATTTCTGACCCAAATGACTCCAGACAGAAGATATTCTTTTTAGCTTTTATTTATTTATTTTTGATATAGGGTCACACTATGCAGATCAGACACCTGGTTCCGGGGTGGCACGGTGCATGGTTCCAGGCCGGCCCAGCCACGGATTGAACTCAGGATTTTGTGCTTGCCAGGCAGGATCTTATGCTGCCAGGCTATCACCGGCCACCTCAAATAAAAGATACTAAACCTGTAGTAGTTATGGCTGAGGAATATGAGTGGGTATAAGTGAGAATTGTCATCTATAAGTACCTACTACTTTAACAATTTTTTTTTTTTAATTTTTATAAATCTTCATAAAATCAGGGGAAAAAAGTCAGGTCTTTTGGGAGTCCTGCCTATTTGGGAGACTGAGACAAGAAGACCACAGGTTAAAAGCCAACCTGAGCAACTTAATGAGTCCTTATGTCAAAATTAAAAGGGCTAGGGTACGTGTAGCACAGTGGGGAAGTACATGGCCATCACGCATGGGACCCTAGGTTCAATTCCCAGTACTATAAAATCAAACAACACCAAAAACACATGAAAGAGAAGAATATAAAACAAAGGTTTTCAGCAGAGAGAAAAATCAATTTCTAACTAACCATGATGGTGCACAGTTGCAATCCCAGCTCTTCAGGAGGCTGAGGCAGGACTGCAAGCTCACAGTCAGCCCAGTAACTCTGAGACCTTGTCTCTAAAATAAAGGACAGGGGCTGTAGCGCAGTGGTGGAGAGCTTGCTTAGCATGTGTGAGGTCGAGGGTTCCACCCTCAGGACTGCTGAAACAAAACTATTTCTGGCGTGTACAATGCCCTACAAAATTCTAACTTCATGAGGCATCCATATCTCTGAATCTTTCTATGGTTTGTGTGTATTTGTCTGTGTGTCTCTTCAACTGAACCCAGAGCCTTGAGTAAAATTGCCAGCCCCATTTCTGAGTATTTAACAGACTTTTTACTTTTGGTCTTCAGCTTAGAAGAAACATTTACCAAGTAAAACATGCACCAAATCTGCTACGTTCTGGAATACAAAAGTTACAATGAGATCTGAAAAGTCTGTTGATATATGAAAATGTGAGCTTAAAGAAATTTTTCTTCTATATTTCAGTAATTGTGGACTAAAGTAACTTAGATGCACTATGAGAACAAGGTTCACTTTTAACACATTACACATGGTGTACCCTTGGATTCCAGCAAGTAAATTCTTGCCAGGAGGGTGGAACACACCTATAATCCCAGCACTGGGAAGGTTGAGGCAGAAAGACTACGGCAAGTTCCAGGCCGCCTGGGCTGCAAAATAATTAGTTCAAGGCCAGCCAGATCTACACAGTGAGAGCCTGACTGGAATTTAAAAAAAAAAAAAAAACTCTCATAAAAGAAAAAAGCATATATAGCAAGGTAAGTCAGGTCCTTTTTGGCATTTTTTTTTTTTTAGATGTGTGGGGATTTTGTTTTTTAACATTTTAAAATGGTGAGAAAAATCACTTACACTCTATTTCCCTTAAAGCTCATCTTTATTTATTATTTATTTATTTTTATGTATTTGGTACAGGCTCTCACTACACAGCTTGGACTTGCAGTGATCCTCCCGGTTCCACCTCGCCAGCGCTGGGATTACAGGCATGCACCACGACTCCCAGTCTCAGTGGCCAGCTCAGTGCGCCCAGGGGCAGGGCCAGCATGGCAGGCATGTGGTACTGGGGATCAAATCCTGGTCCCTGCACTTGCCTAAGCAGGCACTTAGTCTGCTAAGCTATCTTGCCATCCATTCAAAGCTCCTCTTTGAAAATAAGAAAGCTAGAGGCGGGGGGGTGTTATTTAATGATAAAGCACTTGCCTGTCATGCCAAGATCTTGGGTTTGATCCCAGACCAAAAAATTTAAAACGTGGGGGGGGGGGTAAGGAAACTAAATTCGAGTATCTCTTCTAACGCTTTCTAGACTTCACAGTCTGCTAGTTCCGTACTCTGCAGTGCTGCACCACAGACTTGAATCAGCACAGATTGACTTCCACTTGATTTTTGGCTTTGTCACTCTCCCACTTGGTAAGCTACTTAATTTTTGGCAGGCTGTGTTTCCTTCTGTAATGTGGATCAATGATTACTTGCAGGGTTTTTTGGTACTGGGAAGCAAACTCGTGACCCGGCGCTTGCCAGGCAGGCACTGTGCAACGATCACATTTTTTTAAGAATTATGAGACATAATTTGCACGAGCACACTGCTCTTGCTCTCGAGAGTGCAGGCAGCAGGGGCAGGAAGAGAGCTGCTGTCCGAGAGCAGTGACTCAGGCTCAGGAGCGCACGTTAGTGTCTGACCATCTGGGTGAAGAATAAAGACACACTCACTTCTGACAAAGCTGGTTAAAAAGAACCTTAGGAGAAAGGGGTCCTCGTTCAGTCTCCACCATGCTGTGAAGAAACAGGAACAGGGCTGAGGTCAGCGGTCCAGGACTTGAGAGTTCTACCGCTAATGGGTCCTGTAAAAACGTGATCAATCAATGAGTAAATAAAATGATCAACTACATGTCAAACTGTATGTTCCAGGATAAAACATTATTTAAAATTTAAGTGTTTTACTTTGTGTAAATGATAGTAAATAAATTGACTGCAACTATGAAACTTTATTCCTTCATATCTAAACTGAACATATAAAAATCAGAATTAAATGCCTTGCCTTGAAAAACACAGGCATTTTTATATGCTCCACCCTTTACTTAATGAAACTGTTAGCGTGCATGAAGTCACCAATCTTCAGTGCTGGTTAAAGTCTCATCTGCTCCGCAAGTAAAAGTACTAGTCTATTTGCTTTTTGTGCATTTTCACAAAGAATCTTCTATTTACCATGAAATTCCACACCTTTCTTTCTCCCAAATATTTTATATAAGGAATAAGGAATTATGTGACAAAAATCTCTTTTGAAGGAAGAAAAAAAAATGTTATCCCTTTGTCATTCAAAATTGTCTCCTAATAAGAACAATTTAAGAGTACATTGTACTAATTTTGTTCTTTTTTGTATTTAGTGCAGGGTCTACAGGATCTCACTACACCGACTTGTAGTGATTCTCCCGTTTTCAGCTTCCCAAGCACTGGGATTATAGGCGCGCACCACCAAGAAAGACCTAAGGAAGTGGAGATTCACCCAGACTGGATGCTGTCAGCAAACAGTAATTCCAAGAGTGTGTGTGTGTGTGGGGGGGGGTTCTCTCAATAAGACTTATCCATGGAAAAGAAGAGAGGGCAACAAGGACTAAATCAGTATCTGATGACAAAGCAGTAATAGTCCATTCCCATTTTGGCTAAACAAAGAGAGTGCTGGGGTGTTATAAATGGCAGAGTGACACTGTCTTTGTCTGTCTTTAAACAAATTATGGAGTGGCTATCCTTTGTCTCATTTTATCACAGCATCAGAGAAACCTAGTCTTCAGTTGCTTCTCTGTGAGACTATTTGAATAATAACCTACTTCTGGGTGTTAGGCTGGTTTTGGAATGTTACAGACTGCTCCTCTGTTTTGATTTGCTAGCTTGTTTCTCTTTCTTACTCACTGTCTTAAAAATCCATTATCAGATTGATCTTCAAAAAAATTTCAGGGGCCAGGGAGATGGCTCAGTGGAATAAGTGCTTCCCTGGCAAGCACAAGGGCCTGAGTTCAATCCCCGGTTCCGCAAAAAAGAAAGAAAGAAAAAAATAAATAAAAATCAGGGCTGGGGAGATAGCTCAGCGGCATAAGCACCCACTAGCAAGCACAAGGCCCTGAGTATGATCCCTGGTACCACATGCCGAGGAGGCCCTGGAACCAGGTATTGTGGCACATGTTTGTAATCCCAGTGCTGGGGAGGCTGAGACAAGAGGATCATTACAAGTCTTAACTGCATAATGAGACCTTGTATCAAAAAATAAAAATTAAAACTAAAAATTTCAGACACTCTCTATTAAATCTACCTATAAAGAACAAAATGCTAAATTTAAAAGATTTTTTTTTTTTTCTTTTTTCAGAACCAGGGATTGAACTCAGGCCCTTGCACTTGCCAGTAAGCACTTATTCTACTGAGCCATCTCCCCGGCCCAAAACACTAAATTTAAACAAATGCTGCTAGTACCTACAAAACAGGAATACTACATATTTTGCTCAACAAGTTAAACCTCTTTCATTTGTTTAAAAGCTGTTTAAGTCTGTATAGTTTGATCCATTATGTATTTAAATAATGTATCTTTTCTATTTAACTTTTTTATTTTTTAAAGAATACAAATTAGAATTAAAACAAAAAAAAAAAACAAGTGATACAGAATTTCATTTACCAGAGTAATATGAATTTCACAGTATTTGTTGTAATATATATATAGTGTTGTCTTCCAACCAGTTATTCATATTACCAGATATAGGCATGTAAAATTGGAAGAAAAAAAAATGTATAAGAAGAGAAAAACAATTGAAAAAAAGGAGATGAAACAAATTAATGCATTAACTGCTTCTTTCCATAGACCAGCAGAAATGCACAGTACAGTTGTCCAAACCATCCAGTTTACACACCTACATAATGTATCTTAACCTTATGATTTTAAAAACTTTACATCTAATTATTTTCATAACATACTTTTAATTTTTGTGTTTGGTTGGTTGGTTTTTTGTTTTTGTTTTTTAAGACAGATCTTGCTTGCAGGGCATGCTGGACTTAAACTCACTATGGACTCCTGGCTGGTCTAGAACTCACAGTGATCCTCCTGCCTCAACCTGCCATGTACTGGGATTATGGGCATGCACCATCGTGATGCCTGGCTTTCAATTATTACTTTTTAAACTCAATGACTATTCTAACTGAGTGTCTAGACAAACATAAAAGATGTATTTTGGCAACATCAACAGCTCATTTGCAAACAGCTCGCCTCTAGATAACCAGACTTCTTACCAGCTGAGATTCTGTGGAAGGAGAGATCTTTAATTTTGTACCATCTTCTTTTATCTCATTCATTAGATCAAGAAGAATGTAAGTCTGTGCCAAGTTCTAAAAGAAAGCAAGAGTAAAGTCCTCTGATTTGATTATCTTATGCTTCTGATTCTTGAAATGAATACTCTCTCAAATTTCAAATTTCACCCACCATAGCAAAAATGTCTGAATTTTTAAAATGTACTGCATATGAAATTTAGTAAATGTCACTACTACCAATAAAGTTATGGTAAAATACACAGAAGACCTTTCGGAACTACTGTGCTGAAAGACGCGTGCATGCATATGACAATAAGCAAAGATAACCTAAATCAAAAGGAATAAAACAAATCCCTAGAGCAAAATTTAACGGTTAAAAGTCTACAGATGGGCCAGTGTTCATATAAATTAAGTTTTTACAAATATTGCTTGTTAATTCTTACCTGAATGACTGCATTAAAGAAGCAAGTATTTCCTAAATTGGTAATTCCTTTTACAGATGACACATTGCTACTTTTTCTTCCTTTCTTTATTTCACTTGTCTCATGTTTTTCTTCACAAAGTTTTATGATTCTAGAAAATGTACCTACAAGTTAGAGAAAACATAACTGACCTGAGATGTAAAATTAAACATATGTTATCTGGCGATTTCAATGTATTATTTAAAATAAAGACTATCTCCCTGAAGCAGTGCTCCTGAAGGACAAGACTACAAACACTAACATCTTTGGTTTACATTGTGTTGCTACTGCAGTTAGTTTATTTTTTTTTTAACATTTATTTATTTGTGTGTGTGTGTGTGTGTGTGTGTGTGTGTGTGTGTGTGACCAGCTCAACCCACCAGGGGGCGGGGCTGGCTGGCATGTGGTGCTGAGGGATCGAACCGTGGTCCCTGTGCTTTGCCAAACTTGTTCCAAGTAGGTGCTTTAGACCCCTGAGCCATCTCGCCAGCCCTGCAGTTAGTTTAAATTTGTTTAAAATACCGACTTGTACCTCACATGACAATACAGAAAAAAAATTGAAATCAATTAAAAAGTTAAATGTATGGAAACCCAGTCAAGAAACAAGTACAAAGACGTGGAACTTAAGGATTAAACAACAAAGATGAGAGAAAGGAAAAAAGGTAGGGGGAAAACATGCAAGTATATATACAGGATAGCTGAGGTGATTGTACTTAAAACTTTCATCAGTTTTGTAAAAATAACAGTTAATGTGTAGAATTTTCACCTTGACTAATTCTGCATGCTGATATCTGCGATCTGAACAACTACATCGAGGACAGCAAAGAGTAATACAAAAGTCATGCTTCAATACTTGTCATCTTGGTCTTCCAAATGTGTACCATTTCCAATGTCATATCACTTATTACTATACTTTCTTCAAAATAAATTTTTAAAAAAGAAAAACAAGAGGGACAAGAACAAAAATTTAATGTTTCTAGAAAATGAGCAGTAATATGTAATCATATGTCCAGTCTTACATAACTATATCTGTTAATCTGAGCAACAGATTTAATGATAAAAATAGATAATATACCAACTATTGTTAATCAGCTATTCTTGTTCTGGAAATCTGTGGCATGTGTATTGTTGTGTGTTACCCTGTTCTGTCTTTGTTTCTGATTTTTTTCTTGCTTTTGTCTTTTACTTTTCAAAATGAAATAATAAAATTAAATTTAATAAAAAAATCAATACACATCCACTAAGATGTCTTTTAATGGAAAAACAGATCAAACAAGGCTAGTGAAAATATGAGCAGGGGTTCACAGGAGTCTTAGCGTCTTATGTCCCTCAGGGCAATGGGTCCATATTATTTTAGTTCACTGTCCAAAATAACATTATAGAATATAACTACTGTCAGTAGTAAAAATTGTTTGTATGTACACAGGTACACATTTAATAGTCACACTGTGTTCATAAACGTTAATGTTCAAAATGTTAACTGGCAAATACAGATAAAGAATATGCATCTGTTGCTCACCTTTTAGTTTTCTGTGTATTTAATCCTTTTCTGAAGGAAATTTTTATAAATAGCAAAATAAAAAATAGGAAGGAGGGAGGGAGGTAGAGAGATCTACAAAAAAAATGGATAAAAGAAGAAATGGGAGGGAGGTGAATGAAAGGGGATGGAAAAGGAATTGAGATGAGTTATATACATGTGCCACCTCCACACAGGGAATGTAACTATTTGCATTAAATGCACGCACTAATAAAGTACATAAATAAAATGGAAATGTTGGAAAACACACACCAGGACAGGACAGAACAAGACAAGACAGGACAGGACAGCACAGCACAGGACAGCACAGCACAGGACAGAACAGCACAGGACAGCACAGGACAGGACAGGACAGAGCAGTGCTTCACATGCAGTAAGACTACATCCTGTCTGCATCTTGTACAATGAATAACCACTAAGACAACAATGTGCAATGTATTAATTATTGAAAAGGTGCTAGTAATCATCTGTGAAACTGTCTCATTGCTATTTGTTTCTCAATAAAATTATTTTAAAAAAAGAAAGAAAGAAACAAGTACAGCTGGTTTTGGATGCATATGCCTATAATTGCCCCACTTGGGAAGCTGATACAGGAGGATCTCAAGACCTGGACTGCACAGGGCGACCGACTCAAAATTGATGAGAAAAAATAGAAAAGTATTAGAAAAGATCTAGCTTCTAAACACTGTTCCCCATTTAAAAGGAGTGAGGATGCCTGAAAGAAAAAGCTGATTCTAAGTCTTGGAACACAAAAGATGCAAAACAAGCAGGAGTCAGTTGGCCCAAACTGAGCATAGTGACACATGCCTATAATCTCAGGATTCAGGAGGCTGAGACACGATGATGGCCTCAGGTACAAGGCCTGCCTGAAACACACAGCAAGATCCTGTCTCAAGCTCTACTCCCCAACACCAAGAAACACAGGCCCACATGAATAGGCCCCTACTATCCAATGTGGCACAATATGACCCCCAACATAAGTTGGGGTAGTATAACAGATTATCACTCACAGACTAACAGAAATGTTAATAATAGATATTTACTGAAGAAGCAGGGAGAGGAATTCCTTACGAGGCCCACTAATAAACAGAAGAAATGACAGAACTAGGGAAATCACCATCTTAGTAGCAGGTATAGTAGTAGGATTTTGTTGTTGTTTTGGGTTATTTTTATTACAATTCTTACAACTTTTCTTTTAGTTGTGAAAACTAAAAGCTTGAAAAAACTGGGCTGAGGCTATAGTTCAGTGGTAGAGCACTTAGCCACCATGCCTAAGGCCTTGGTTTAAACCCCAGGAACCCCTACACACACACACACACACACACTCTCTCTCTCTCTCTCTCTCTCTCTCTCTCAGGTTTAAAGAAATAAATTAATAGAGTCATACTATAATACAAAAATAAGTATCTGACACATAAATGTATGTTTGGAACTTATTCATTTGTATAATTAATACACATCTTAGAATTACATTGTCAGCTCATGTTTAAGAAGGATAAAAATAAAGAACAATACCTACCATTCATGAATGACCTGGTTGATTACATTTATTTGACAGAAGATTACCCTCTGAATCGCTAGGGGATTTGGTACATAGCTATCCCTCAACACCCGAGGAGGTTGAATTCAGGACCCCCAAATTTACAGACACGTAAGTCTCTCATACAAAACAGTATATTTGCACATAACCTTCACACATCTTCCCCTTATAAACTTAAATCATCTCTAGCTTACTTTTAGTTGCTAATGCGATGTACACATGTGCACAATGATTAAACTGTAGTATTTGGGGAACAAAACAATCTGTACAAGTACAGTATAGATGTAAGTTTTCCATAAATATTCTGATTTGCTGTTGCATAAATCTATGGATGCTGGACTAACTGTAATTTGAAGTTTCACAGGAAATTCCCAAGTTCACAAATGTTTTGCTTTTCACTGGTTGTTGTTTGAAATCCCTTTCAACCCTCACACAATTTATAGTTCTTTACATGTGTTGTTACCTTTCTAATACTAACATGCTATCTTGTGCTACTAATTAACTTTAAGAATAAAAAAAGTAAAAAAAAAAAAAAACCCACACATGCATTAGAAATACAGAATTTCACTAAATGAAATAATAGGAATTCAGCAATGGTTGTCATATTGCATACTGTTGTCTTCAAGTCAAGTTAGTTACCTGTGTGTGTGTAAACATTGTATTGTCTCCCTAGTATAAGAACCTGAAAGAGTAAATAAAATAAAAAAAGAACAATAGATACTGTGAGGGGGAAAAAAACTATTCAAAGAAAGGAACTATTAGGATGAGAGAAGGGGAAAAATATATAGATATATACAGGATAGCTTGGATAACTGTATTGTTGATTTCTCTTCCTCTTCTTCGTCCTCCTCCTCCTCCTCCTCCTCCTCCCTCTCTCCCTTCCTTCTTCCCTCCCTCCTTTCTTTTCTAATTAACTTTTAAATGTTCAGGTGACTGACCGAGATTAGGGAATATCTCCTAGTACTGCTCTGTATCCCAGAACATACAGTAAACATCAACATAAATAAATATCTACATTAGAAAGCAGATCCAGCAGAAATTTATCACTCCCACATGATTTCTTATCAGAAAATACATTAAGGGGCTGGTGAGATGGCTCAGTGGTCTAAAGCACCTACTTAGAACAAGCTAAACTAAGCAAAACACAGGGACCGCGGTTCAATCCCCCAGCCCACATGCCAGCCAGCCCCGCCCCCTGGTGGGCTGAGCTGGCCACACACACACAAAATAAATAAATAAATAAATAAATAAAAAGAAAATACATTAAGATGCTTCTCCCCAGCTTTGCAAGAGCTTTAAAGATGAACTAGAAAGAAGGTGACCTTGTTCTCAGGGCCAGGGAAAAAAGCGAACACTAGGGCTGGGGAGATAGTTTGGCAGTCTAAGCACCTGCCTGTCAAGTGCAAGGACCCATGTTCAATCCCCAGTGTCCAGTACCACATGCCATGCTGACCCCACACAGAACTGGCCACTGAGACTGGGCATGGTGGCACACGCCTGTCATCCCAGCATTGGGGAGGCTGAGACAGGAGAAACAGGAGGATCACTATGAGCCTGAGCTGCATATGGAGACCTTGTACAAAAAAAAAAAAAAAAAAAAAAAAAAAAACTCCAGAAAGAGAAGTCTTAATCTCAGGTAGAGGCAGATTAATCTTATGCATATCCTGTTGATCCAAATAAGGTCCTTGCTAAAGAAAAAGCACAGATATGGAGCTCCACTTAGCAGTGAAGCAGAGCTAACACATTTTTTCATAAAGATAAAATGAATAATTACAAAATCTCAGGAACAGTAAGCACTAGGCCAGTGTTTAAAATTAAACTGCTGTGAGAGGCTCTCAAAGTTATGTGTACAAAGCCTGCATACCCAGGAGCTCTGTCATAGCTGTTCTATCCACTGTTTGCCTTCAGAGTTTTCTTTAATTCATTTCCTGTATACTGTGGGGATTAGCTCTGATTTTTTTCACGTGTGCCTGTGGTACAGAGGCCTGCACCCAGGCTTCATGCATGACCTTCTTTTAACAGAAATAGCTCCCTAAGAAAGATGTACT